AAGCTCCTTCCCATCAACAAGCTGTTCTTACCCACTGCAGGGTGAAGGGAAGTGCCACCGCTCACGAGGACCAAGGGCACTCATCTCGGATGCTGCCCATGTCTCAGTGGCAGTCACAGCCACCGGCAGAGCCACAACCTGGAGGCTGCTTCGCAACCCCTCCACTGTCTTCTCAAAGGTTTTCAGATCACTCTTGTCACCACAGTATCGCTTTTGTTTTAAAAAAAAAAACCTCCAAGCTTCCTTCTCTGTGCAAGCCAGCATATGCATACCACCAACGGAAACTAAGAGAAATACACACTGCATTTTATTTTTGAAAAGATTAAGTCCCCCAGCTGTTTATTTGCTGTAAGATTGAGTTCTCCAGGCCTGGGCCAGCAGCCAAAATAGCTTCATTCCCCTGATGTTCTTCAGTCTCAGCCTAATGCTCAACAGCTGGCAGTGCGAGGCAATGGCTATCCTAACACCGTCCAAGCTGCTAATTTTGGTCCCAAATCATTATATGGGAGACACAGCTGTCTGTCCAGCTGCTTCTCAGTTTATACAGGTGTAAATTCCTGGAAGGAGCATTCCCGAGGTAGCTTTATGGACCTACTCTGATCAGGCACAACTCAAACCTCAGTCCTCTGCAGGTGAAACAGAGGATTTCACGGCTACCTCCTGGTACGTTTTAATGGGATGAGAGGAAGCAGAAATTTAAAGATTGCTCTAGTACAAAAGTTTCATGGACTTAGCCACCAGAACCATGAGACTTGTTTATCTGCATTACAAGGTGGAAAGGAATTTCCAGATCTTAATCAGGATTATCAGGTCACTAAGAAGTAAGTTTGCAAACCTGCCCCTTTTTATCTTTTTATTTCTACTCGCATACATTGTATTTCCTGCCTAGGGAAAAAAAATCCTACATCTATTATCTATAAATCAGCTTCACTTGAACTTCATTTCTATCCATATCTACTGAGAAAGTTCTGGGGTGTATTTTTCATTCATTCATTCACTCAGCTTTTCTGCTCCTCTCCCGTTCTGCCAGTTGCTCTGCAGCTGCTGCTCCGGCCACATACATTTGCACCGTGTGCACAGGAATGATCTTGGATAAGCAGCATTAAGTATTTCCAAAGGAATAAAGTCTTGTCCTGCTGTAGTCCATGGCAAAACTCCCAGTGACATTAGCACAGCCAAAGGTTCATCCCATGAGGTGAATCCAGATGTGCTGTTTAAATCTGCCTGGAAACTACTATTCTCATAAAAATGTGGTTTTATGTGAAAACTATTATTATTTTCCCCAGAGGCTGCCTGTTTGCCGTTTGTATGGGGCTTTGCCAGTTTATTTTGACCTATGCCTAAAGCAGTAGGGGTTTCTGATACACCTAGGTCTGAACATGATGCATCTGCTGTTCTTGATGCAAAGTCACGCTGGTTTTGGAATCGCCTGCTGTCCGTACCACCAAACACTGATGTTCTGTAAGAAATGCTGAGATGTTGACCAGCAATGAGACACGTGAAGAATGGCCCTGTTCACTCCTGCAAGATCTCATTCACATCTCCCTGTCCACCAGAGAGCCCAGGAAAACAGAATTATGATTCAGCTTTGGTTAATGGAAACCTTTCCCCAGTCACAGCCGAGCACAGTGTCCAGCTCAAGCCTTGGACAGGGAGGCTGTGGATCACCTGGCAGAGCTTGTTTCATGCTGACTCCCCCAGCTGCTGACACCCCAATCCCCATCTGAATCCCAGGTACAATTCATTACATATCAAATAGAAGATCTAATGGCAAGTCTTCCCTATGCAAAGTCTTCCTCAATGTCCAGATCTTGAGATTTCAGTGTTTATCTCCCAACAGGAAGTTTTGAGCCTGCCAGCAGCTATCGTATAACAAATATTTCCACACAAAACTTCTTACAGCCTTGCCCTTGGCTTCTGAACTGAACTGCAGTTGCTCAGAAGGAAACCAAAGGGAGAATTATTATTATCTTCTGCACCCCCCCCCCACCTCTGGTTTCCAAGATACAGGGGACAAATACAGTTAAAAGTTCCTCTCATATCTACAATCTCTCACAGCATCTCGGAGTTTGCAAAGCAGAAATGTTAAGATTTCAGCCGCATTGCTATGTCTGAATATAAAACTGACTCAGAATCTGTTTACTTTTCAGAGGAACTTTCTAGTTACACCTAAATACCCAGAGCCTTCTAATACTTTCACAATTGCAGGCGTTTGTAATAACTACCAAATTAAAACCAAACCAACACAACCCAAACACACACATATTCTTCATTCTTTTCCATTAAACATTTTTCTTGGACAACATGTTCTTTAATTTTTAAATGCACACTGTTACCATCATTTTGGGAGCAGAGCCAATTTCATCCATGAACAGAAGAACAGCTTTTCTGGGTTCGATCCAACACTTGTCTACCCCAGCATCCTGTCTCCACCAGCCACAGATCCCTGGGAAGATCACACAAACAGATTGAGCGCAGAGGGCTACACCACGTTACACTTACCCAGACTCCAATAATCCACAATTTTGAGTCAGAGGTGTAGTAATTATGTTTAATATCCCTTAATAGACTTTCCCCCTTAATTTGCCTCACTGCTTACTGAGCCCATGCGATTTTTTTCCATTCAGGTCATTCCCTGGCAGGGAGTTTCTGCATTAAACTACATGTTGTCAAACAAAATACTTCATTTATTGTGAACCTGCCACCTGCTCGTCTCACTTGCTCTCCCCCAGTTTTTGCATTAGGAAAAGTCACAAATAATCAATTCCTGTTTGTTCTCCCACGCCTGACATGATTTTATCATTTTTCCTACTTTTTCAGCTCTTTCTCTGTCAACTGCAGAATACGACCTTATTTGGTTGTTCCTCCCAGAATGTACTCCAGGTTACTGAGGGTACAGCACAGATCTCTATAGGATCTCCTCGTAACTTCTGCATATTGCAAAAGCTGCCTGTATCTTCCAAAGTCTTGATCGTTATCTGGTTTATGTAACTGGTATGTAATCAATTATATAAGCCAAAATGGGAAAAAAAAATCCTTTCCTCTTATCCCACAGGAGCTTAGTTCTTTTACGAAATAAAAAAATAATTTGTTAATCTGACCAAAGCCTGTCCAAAACCTTCTGGATGTCCAAGGATTCTGTATTAAGGGATCACCCTTATTCACATGCTCCAGGTGACTCAGCTGTGAGGCACAGCTTTTTTCTCCAACAGCGTTTTAATTCTTCTGCCTGCTCTGTCTCTGTCTACGCGTCTGCTGGGAAGAGTCTAACAAAGGAGAACATCAATTTGTCCAGCACAGGAAGATAATTTGTAGCTTCCAGATTTCCCCAAGATCCCTTTTTTTAAATCACTGCTGCCTTTGGCTCCTCTCTTCACTCCGACACCACAGCAATTCAAACAGCAAACTCCTTGACAGGTAATAGTTAAAATTTTACACTTGAGCACCTTTAGAATTTAAAGCACGACCATATTCACACATGGAAAAAGAGCTCCAACAAAACTAAACTTCAGATAGCTAATTAAAGAAATCAAATCACCACATCCACTTCTCACAGGGGAAACTAAGCCAAGAAGCTGTATGTCAGGATGCAAAGACGACTCCAAACTTTAGTTAGTCCAGAGTTTGATGTTAAGCCTTCACATTTTCTTCTTTAAATTTAATAATGAAACTGAAAGTCTCCCCTGAATATGGTTGAGGTGAAACAAATGTTGTTAGCACTGTATTTTCATGTTTGACTAGAAACATTCTTGAATAGCATAATATTGATACAAGTTGTGGATTTGGTTCAGGTGTCCAGACCACTGATTAGTGCCAGGCACAAAGATCAGCAGCTCAAGGGCTGGTGACCGTAAAGGCAGGCAGAGCTCATTTGTCTCTGGCTGCAACACATCCTCAGCTCCTCTTTTTATCATATAGGGGAATATTTGAGTTCTGTTTCGAGCCTGAACAGCTGAAATCCATCAATGTTTGTTTAATTCCATTTGTCTCCTCTCCCCCCGTTCCTCCTCTTCTGGGAGGAGCAGGAATAACCTTGCAGAGAATCTTGGTTTTGGCAGCTTCTGCTCGTTACACGCATGCCAATTCCCTGACTTCTATAGGAATTTTCTGAGTGTAACTTCAGTGCCTCGGGACAAGAAGTTACTTGCTCAACATCACAAATATTTATTAAAAAAGCACAAGTGCTTAGCACTGATGTATGGATCACATCTCGAGAGGTGCTGCAGTTCTGAGTTGAAGCAAAGCCAGTGCAAGTTGATGGCACTCAGCTTCTCCTTAAAGTCAGCCTTTTCTCCCCGAGCAGTGCATGAAAACGATATAATCCTGATGCACCATCTCAAAATAAACACACGATCAGACCTGTGTATACAATCTACATATAATCTTAGCAAAAAAAAGTTTGCGTCCTTAACTGGGAAGTACAATTTCCCCTCTTCCTCATGCTGTCAGAACACTGATTTTATTTAAGCATAGTAGAATGTTTTTTATATCATAGATTAAAACTACTGCAACAAGTACAGCCAATTTAATCTCTGGCTCTATTAAAAAACTGAATGTCATATTTTAAGAAAAATATTTGACTTCTCTAGACTTTGGAACAATGACTTTAAAAGAAACAACCCATAAGGCAGATGGCAGGCATCCTAACTGCCTCACTAGAGTCGTGTTACATATTTTGTCTTGCACCCCGAGAGCTCTAATTCAGAACAATTCATACCATTATTGAGAGAGATTAAGTTTGGTTAACACTGTGTATCTAAAAAAGTACTTCACGCATATTATATTTACATGAGAGACGGGTTTAAAAATCAATACCAAGCCTACTAACAAGTCAGTTCTCATCCACAGTATATAAACAGCATGAGCTAAGTATCACTAAAATACATATACACTTGTGAGATTGCTTTTAAAACTACAGATGCAGCTTAATAGTTTTACCTAAACTTGCACGATATTACAAGACTATTTATAGCATTATTTTCTTCTGGTATTAGCTGTACCACTTGTACCAAAGGAAGTTCATCAGCAGACCCACAACATCTGCTGCCACCACTCTGGGCTTCCACGATGAGCAATGAGGCCACATGCATTCAGGCTTTGACAACACATTCGCAACCTTGAAGGCGACTGGAGAACAAAGGACATTTATTATACACACCAGTAAAAACGCTGGATGCAAAGAATCACCCTGTGTTTGCCCTCAGCATGGCTCAGCACCTCCTGCCACAGCCCTGTAGTGCTCACACAGCAAAGCACCAGCCCTCAGGAACCCCAAAACAGCCAAACACAGAAACACAAAGCAGGCAGGTTTACTCAATTTATCTTAGGATGGCAACATTTGCACGTATTGTGATAAGCAGAGGAAAAAGGCCCTA